CAGCTGCTGTTTACAGGGACCCTTCACCAAGTGCTGCTCCTGTACGAAGCCAAAGTGTGATATACTACAGGCAACGATGAGGCTGGGGCATCAGATCACTTTAAAAACTGCAACCCCCAAAACACCCTATACATTTGTCTCGTGACAGCCCATCACCACTTTGCTTTCCCAGTGCCAGGAGAACAGCGTACTGCTGCAGGTACGTTCACTTATTCTCCTCTAAACTGCTGATTTTCTAAGTTTATTAGAATAATCTGTTTCTGGAGGAAACAGCTCCATCATGGGATGTGCCCCAAGCTGGGCTTCCCTCAGCAAATGACATTCAGCTCTTCTTACAGCACCTGCCCCTTGCTTTTTTAAAACAGAATTTTGCTATCTGCTTGCAGAAAGCTGGTTGCCTGGTCTTTAGCAACCCCTGTGACACTCCACTGAGCCTCCAGTATTGCTGTGCCTCTCTGTAGTTCGACCCGCATCAGAATTAAGAGAACAGAATCAAATGCTTCATTTGAACGCTACACTGGTAACACCCCAGCAAGGTACTGACAAAATCTACTGCGTCCTCATTTATGTCTGTGGCCATGTTAGGGCCATCATACTTCATTACCTCCACAGCTTTCCCATGAGATTCGTTAAAATACAAAGCTTTTAAAAAGACAAAAGGGTTATTTTGGGCAGCTGATATTAAAAATTGGCCTTTGAATGCTGCACTCCTCTCCCACACCTTAGGAAGACTAGCTCTGTAATGCTGTCGGTAGGCCAAGCACAGCCATGACCATCTCACACCTGCCTTGGCTTTGTGGACCACTGGGTGAGCTACTCTCCTTTCTGTGTCACCTTGCTGTCCTGTGCAGGCTCACATTATGAAGTTAAGACCTACCTGTGGCAGCTGAAAGCAAGCCAACAACCCCCGGAGAAGTACCAGCTGAAGAGAGGCTGAAGTTTGGCTAGAAATACAAACTCCATTCGGTGACGTGCAAAGAGCCGGCAGGAGGAGATGAGCGGCCGGCAGGGCAGGGGCCACGGTGAAAGCCACCCTGCCCCAGGACACCCAGCTCTAGTTCCGTCTGCGATCTGGCAAAGAACTGATGCAAAGCATCTGTCAGGGCACGGGCTGCTCTTTCTGACAGGCAGGTAAGTGTGGGGGGAAAAAAAAAGAAATGAAAAACACTTTGCTGCTCATGTTTAGTCTTCCTGCTG